TATTTGTCCAAAACGGACAACCGAGTCAAAAGTTATGCATTGCCAAACTTTTGACACTTCACAGCTTTTACCCAGAATTATTGTACGAATGGGAAAGTAGAAATCAATATATTTTATTGGGAAGATAGATTTTTTAGGAATTGGGCGGGAAGTTAAAATTTCAGGATTTTGTTTTTATATATAGTATAGATTAGATGTGCAAAGAGAATTGTATTACACTATTTTATAATTTTAGAATAGAATTTTTACCCAGAATTATTGTACGTGATGGATATATTGGACCTGGAACGAACCGACCCGGAGAGACGGACCCGAGGCGCCTCGGCCCAACCCCTTGGGCCGTGCCCGGGTCGGCCCAAAGCAACTCGGCCATGGGCCGAGCCCGGCCACGGACGAGCTCGGTACACCCGAGCTCGTCACCATGGACCCGGCTACTGCCGAGCCGAGCCGGTCCATGGCGGACTCGGCTAGCCCGAGCTCGGCACATACCCGGCTCGGCCATGCCAAGTCGCCCCGCTTTGGACCCGGTCCCGGAGGGGACGCGGTCAAAGCGGGCCGATCTAACCACCCCCGGTTCTAGGGGTGCGATTGGGGGTTGAGCTGGTATAAAAAGCTCCCTCCTTGTCGTAACAAAGGACCTGATCATTACACAACACAACATATTCCTGAATTGCTATCTTCTAGCATTATTGTCATAATCAAGTCTTGTAATAGCTTATTAGCGACAATTAATACAATATACGGTCCCTGCGACCTACGGTCCCTGCGGCCTTACGATATCTTTGCGTTATATTATTTATTTTGTACGTATTCTTATCCGGGTTTAATAATTCGGGCTACCCCAGGTGAATTAAATCCATCAGTACGAATGAGAAAGTAGAAATCAATATATTTTATTGGGAAGAGAGATTTTTTAGGAATTGGACGGGAAGTTAAAATTTCAGGATTTTGTTTTTATATATAGTATAGATGTATTATATATTTTACATTTTAGATTTGTTTGACGCATATTTTATATTTTTTAATTAATATTGTACTATATACGGAGTATCAAGTAGTAAAATATTATTGTGGTGATTTTAGTAAGAGAAATTAGCAATATAGATTAAATGCCTTAAATAATATTGTACTGTAATTGCTTTGTTTTTTGGTTTTTTTTTTTTCTCATTATTGCATATTTATTGGATATGGAGACAAACAAACAAAAAATTTTAAAAAAAATGTTTCATTTACCATTTTATCATAAAATCTTAACAAAAGCATATGCCAGCTAACATGCATATAAGACGTGTGATATGCTGCTGATTAATGTCGAATGGATCATCAAAAGTGGTGCATACATCACACAACACACATGTCCCTCGCCCTTTTTATTCCTTTTTAGGGTATTATGTTTTGAATTTTGAAAAATATTTTTTTTCTCGGTTAGTATCATATATGATTAACTCAACGTAATATATCACAATACTTATACAAATTTATAACTAACTACCTTATAATGAAATATTGATATATAAAGTTTACTCATCATTCATATTAAGAAAATGGTTATAGGCTTATTTGTTTACCATAAGTAATTTATCGGATTAGATAGGTTGGTTTCTAGACTTTTGAGAAGTCTACCGGGGATCCAACATAACCGGAAAAGTTGATGAATCACTGGGAAATAGAATATAAAAAATAAATAGAAAAAAAAAATTGACACAATGATTTTTACGTAAAAATTGAAAAAAAAAATCACAAGTTTTTTTGGGCGGTGTCAAGTCAAAGATTTTACTATTTTTTTGTAGGAGCTTTTGTGCATGTTACATTGTGTATGGATGAAGCTTTCTCTTTCACTCTCAAATATTGAGCCCTCTCGTGATGACCCCCCTTTGCTCTTTACTCTCTCCTTCTTTTATAGCTACAAGTCTTCAAGGGTAGTAAGTGGTGTTTATTAGGATTTAATGGGTATTATTAAGGGGCAATAAATAGGAGGTTAGAATGGGATAAATTAAATAGGTAATAATAGGTGGTTTAGTGGGTTATAAAGAGGTATTTATGGGATTTATCATGGGTTGTTAGTAGGGCAAGGGCAAGTAATGGGTATTTATTTAGGGGTTATGGAGGGGTTTAGGTGGTGTAATCGGGTTTAGGTGGTTCAACCGGGTTCTCATACTCGGTATACATCAAGATACATTATACAAAAATTTTATTACTGAAATAAATATAGGTCCTGTTTGGTAAATGGCTGTTAGCTGATTAGGTTAATTAGAAGGTATAACTAGTTTATAACATTAGCTGATTGTAAAAAGGTGTTTGGTAAATTAGATGTTAGTTGATAGCTATTTGGTATAATTTCTTTTCTCAAAAAGCTAATTGAAAAAGTTGCTTTGAACAGCTTTTAGAATTTTAGCATTTTAGAGTTGACTTTTTAACTAAATCAAATAATTAATAGTGGTTAAATAAGGCAAAATTGACTAATAGGCTAATATTTTACCAAATAGGGCCTATAGTATTTGCTTTCTATTTTCACTCTTTATTCATTTGGTACATTAAAATTATATTTATCTAACACCAGTCTTAATAATTGGAAATTGCACAATAATAAGTCTTACATGCGTCAAAGATTTTGTAACATAATAATTTATTAATAGGATGTTTTAATATTCAATCTCCATTATTTTTTAACTAGTTAATTGAAACAGGCTGCACAATTAAATCAATGTCCAATGATAAAATAAATTATAAAATTATATTATCAAAATAAATATAAAAATATTAAATTGTTTATAATTTTAAATTTATCGATCATATTTTATTCTAACAAAATATTTATACAATATATTAACTAGTTAAAATCCTCATCAATCATATTCAACATTCAACCATTTATATTATCAAATATATAATTATAGGGAAAAATGCAATTTTAGTCCTTCAATTGTTCTTTGCTAGCCGTTTTAGTTATTAGCTTTTTACTATTGCAATATACACCCCTAACCATTCAAAAAATTTGCAGCTTTAATCATTGAAATAACAAAATTATTAAACTCTATTAAAATTTTACTTAATACATGAGTATTTTACTTAATGTTTCTTCATTAACTACAATTTTGATTAGTCTTGATATTTCATTTAAAAAATAAAGAATATGATTTTAACAATGTCATGTAAGGAAAATAGGGACGATGTGTCACAATTAAAAAGAAAAATTTTAAGAAAGAAAATTGTCAATTCTATATTTTGCATATGAAATACCAAAATTTACAATGTTATTAAGAACAAAGATAATTAAGTTTTGAAATATCTATGTACTAAGTAAAATTTTAATATACCAAGACTGTGGTCTAATGGTACCCGGGTTGAACTTTCATTTGGAAGGTTATGAGTTCAAGCCTCAGTGGAGGCGTTATTGGTTCTTTGTGTTTCAGTAACTTGAGAAAGTATATGCACATTTACTACAATGTAAACGGGCCAGTAACATTCAAAAAAAAAATAATAAAATTTTAATATAGTTTAGTAGTTTTGCCGCTTCAGGGGTTAAAACTACAACTTTTTTGAAGAGTCATGGTGTATATTGCAATAGTAAATAATTAGGGACTAAAACTGCTAGAAAGAAACAATTGTGGGACTAAAATTGCATTTTTTTTTTAATAATTATATGTAGTTGAATAATAACTTACTTAAAATATATTAATTAATTAGACAATAAATTTCAACACAAAACACATGAAAAGAAAAAATTGTTAACAAATCCATAGAGCATCTCCAATGGGATGAGAAAGAGGGTAGGGTGGGGAGGTGTGAGGGGGGAGGGGGAGAGAAAGAGGGAGAAGGGGTGGAGATGAGAGAAGTAACATGCTCTGGAGAAACTGTTATCTCTAGAGTATGTTGTTCCAAGTGCGTGATGTGTAGCAGGCACGCGGTGCGTGGTGTGTGACAGGCATGCGACCACACACCAAAGCAGTTGTCTTAACAACTATTTTACCGTTTAGGTTGCAAAAGAGTTTCATTTGCCCTTAATGGTCATTTGACTGTTGGGATTTGTTTAATTATTATTACTAATTTTCCCTCAACGGTCATTTGACCATTGGGATTTGTTTAATTATTTCTATTCGTACCTTTATAAGATTTTCTATATCCCTAAAAAAAAAAAAAAGATTTTTATACACTTATATTTCCTCTCAAATTTGTTTACATGTCTATTTCTTCTCAATATGTCTTCAGATAGAGAAAAAGAAAATTCAAATGCCCAAGCAGAAAGGCAAAGGCAAAGTGGAAATTTTCGAACCCAATGTTGACCATAAGCTACGGCAACGAATTGATAAATACACTATGGTCAAAGGAAAAAATGTTGCGACAAAGGAAAGAAGCGCATTTGCAAAGGGAATATACGATGAGGCCATGGAATTGCAACTCTGGTATAAAGATACTTCACAAATCACATAAGAGCAACTAGCAAATCACAAAAGGGTTTGTAAGTATACCATGAAGAAGATATTTACAGAAACGTAATTTTTATTTTATTTATGTTTTTTATTTTTATTTTTATTTATGTATTCGTATTTTGAATTTAATGCCATTTTATTTGTTTTAATTATAAAAATAAAATTTTATATTTAATTCAAAATTATGTATGTATTTATTTTAAACGTATTTAGATTTAAAATTATAATTATAAGAAAGTGAATAAAGTAGTAAATGATCTGTAAGACTGTGTATGTCAAACTTATGATTGCATTTACTTAAACTCTGTAATTTTATGTTCTCCATTATTTTTTTTTAAATTTAAAAATATATAAATAAATAAATTTTAATATTAATTTTCCAAAAAATAGAATTTTGTTTTTGATAATGAATGCATATTCGAATGCTATTGTGAGTATTTGTGACTGGATTACCCCAAAAAAATATAAAATCGAAAAGTAAAAATGAGAACATGCCTAAATATATTTTTTAATCAGAAAAGATTGTGATTACGCAAACAAGCCCTTGTTGACCGTCAGTATAAATACACATATTTTGGTGCTAGGTTTTCAGCGGCGGAGGGAGACGGCAAGCGGGAGGAGATATAGGGGAAGGCTTAAACTGAAGCTCTTTCTCTCTCGGGTTTTTGCTTTCTCTCTCCTAGGGTTTATTCTGTTTCAACAATGGCCAACGCCAAGGATAACTTCAGCATGTCCGATCTCAACGCTGGTAACCTTCTATCCAGAGAGCTACGTTAATCTACTCGTACAGTTCTATCTGTATGTATACGTATACAGATTTTAATTTTAACATGCGGGAGCGTAATGAATTCGCTAGTGTGTTTCTGTACTTGCTGGAATCTTGATATGCTTTGATTTTCCTGTGTTTATTTCGTGTATTATTGTTGTTTCAATTTCTTTGTAGCTCTGAATTCTGAGGAAAAGGCTGACCTTGTCAACGTTCTCAAAGTAAGTTATTTTTGCCGTTTCTTATGTTTGCAATACATAGATTATAAGTACATCTGTATAGCCCAGTCCCTCTTTGAAGTTTTATCAAAGGAGCTGTATGCTGTTTGTGTGTAGGGGTCCCTTTTATTCCCTCCTAAAAAGGGAATAGAGTTGTATTAATACTGATAGTGTTTCATTTTCTAAAGAATAAGCTTCAGGATCTTACTGGACAGCATTCAAATGTGCTCGAGAGCTTGTCACCTGATGTCAGAGAGCGTGTTGAGTTCCTCAGGGAGATTCAGGTATGTGAATCTTGTACTGGTGTCTCGAATGTTTTAAACGCTTGGTTGTTTTATGAAACTCCAATTCTATGTGGACATCAATTTAAGATATCCTAATCTGAAAATTCCAATGTCATTGCAGATTGTTAAGAGTATTAAATGTGGTTAATTGAATTGACACAATAAATAGGGAAAGTCCCAAGTGGGGAATTATTTGAATTTTGGCATATCCTGTATTGGTCCAATTTTAATTTTAATTGTTGCTAATAAATTGAGTTTCTCATTGAACAATTTTGGTGATTAAAGAATGACTTTATTTTTGCAAAGATTTTATGGTATTGGTTAAATATTAAATACCTTTAAGTTTTAGTGAATGAGGAGCCACTTTATTTTATATGATTTGTTTTTTATAAGTAAATCAGAGAAGTAATTTCCCTATACAACTTGTTTAGAAAACATATTATTATTGTTATGTTTTTTTTGTCAATCCTTGCCCTCCTTGCTCTCAACTAACTGCTTACATCTTCACAGTTTTTTTTTTTTTTTTTTTTTTTTTTTTTTCAGTTTTGAATTTTCACATTCTCTTACATCTTATTGATTATTGATGCTCCCTTGGTGGATTTTGGTGCTGAATTGTGCAGACTCAACATGATGAATTGGAGGCAAAGTTTCTTGAAGAGAGAGCAGCACTTGAAGCCAAGTATCAGAAGCTTTATCAACCACTATATACAAAGGTTTGTAAGGCTCTTTTACCATATTATTATTATACGTCTGCTATTTCATTGGCTTGTAATCCTATGCCTCAAATTCATAATGAAGTGAAAAAAAACGTGCAGAGATATGAAATAGTGAATGGTATAGTTGAAGTTGAAGGTGAAAAAGCTGAAGCAGTGTCTATGGACCAAGAAGACGACAAAACTGCCGAGAAAGGAGTTCCACATTTCTGGGTTACTGCTATGAAGAATAATGAAGTGTTAGCTGAAGAGGTTAGATGTTCATGAATGCTCTCTTTGTTGCCTTTCTGCATTTTTTATAACCTGTTTGATCATTTGCATTTTATTTTATCTCCGCCTTCTTATTGATGTTAGATTACTGAGCGTGATGAAGGAGCTCTCGAATATTTGAAAGACATTAAGTGGTCCAGAATTGATAATCCAAAGGGCTTCAAGCTTGAATTTTTCTTTGAGACCAATCCATTCTTCAAAAACTCTATTTTGACTAAGACCTATCATATGATTGATGAAGATGAACCTATTCTAGAGAAAGCCATAGGGTAAGTAAATTTCTCTTTTTTTTTTATTGATATGCGGCATATTGCATGTCTTTACATTTTTCAATTTCTTTTTGTGCTTATTAGCTGATTGATGGTTTTGGTGGGACCAAGTGCAACTGATGTTATTGTTTTATGTTTGGAATATTTTCTGATTGCTTTTTTTTGTATTAAGGAGTTACCATATGTCCACTTTGCAGGACTGAGATAGAGTGGTATCCAGGAAAATGCTTGACACAGAAGATCTTGAAGAAGAAACCTAAGAAGGGGTCTAAGAATGCCAAGCCCGTGACTAAAACTGAACAGTGTGACAGTTTCTTCAACTTCTTTAGTCCACCTGAAGTCCCTGAGGATGAAGATGACATTGATGAAGAAGCTGTAAGAATTGCATCCGTGTATTATAGTTTTTGGCTTTTCTTTCTATTTTTTCTAGCTGATATATTTTACCTTTTTATTTGGATAGGCTGAGGAGCTGCAAAATTTAATGGAACAAGACTATGACATTGGGTGAGTCTAAATAAATGTGAATCTTTCAGTCCTCTTTCGGTGTTTGTGTATTCAGCATTGATTTTCTCAAAAGTTACAAGTAATCCTTTTTAAGTGTTAACATGGTTTTAATATTCCCTTTCTGTTCTGTAATAACTTTGTGTTGTGCCTCTTTTGTGATGTTTGCTTTATCTAGTTTGAACTGACTGATATGTTTTACTCTTTTGCTGCAAGCATGACAAAATGATATCTCCTATGCTGTGCAGGTCAACTATTCGAGACAAAATTATCCCACATGCAGTGTCTTGGTTCACTGGGGAAGCTGCTGAAAATGATTTTCCTGAACTAGATGATGAAGATGACGAGGAGGATGATGATGACGAAGAGGATGAAGAGGACGAGGAGGAAGATGAAGAAGAGGATGATGACGATGATGAAGATGATGTCAAGACAAAGAAGAGGGTACAAAGTTGATTGTTGTTTTGGCTTGCCAGTTGTCTTTGTATTTATTCTTAATGAGTTCTACTATGCATACTCCCAAATTCTACTCCCTCATTTTTATTCCTTGATGTGGCACACTAGCAAACATTGATAGGCTATTTTTATGTGTGCACTCAGAAAATTGTTCACATCAAGAATTTGAGAGTGGGAATAGAAATTGGGAGTTCACATAGTATTTACCATTCTTAAATTGCTTATCGAGCTGATATATTTTATCCTCCTTTCTTATCTGCTCCAGACAACTGCTGCTGCACGGAAGGTATACCTTTTTTTTTTTTTTTTTTTTTTTTTTAATTAGATTATATATTTTGTATATTGTGCATGATTTTATGTCCCATAGTATTTTTCTGAGTTATATTTCATTGAATTACAGAGAAGTGGAAGAGCAGCTGCAGCTGCAGATGGTCAGCAAGGTGAGAGGCCTCCAGAGTGCAAGCAACAGTAGTTCAATGTGTCAAGAAGATATATGCAGTCTTTTAGAAGTCTCTGGATTTGCCTTTCTCCATTGAAGTCTTTCTGGGTTTATATTCTCTTATCATATTACTATTATTATTATTCCATTTTCTTAGTTTCATTTTTGGCAGTGGGTTGGGAAGGATTGTGGAAATAGTGTTAGATGTGATGTGATCTGTTTAGTTTCTGTCGGATTGCGGATTGAAACATTATAGTATAGCTGCCTGATATTATTCCCTTGTGCTCTATTGAATTTTGCAATTTTCTCTAATATTCTTGGAAGCTATTTGTTCTGGTGGTATTAACTGGTACTTTTGCTCGCTGTTTCACTCGAATCACTGAAATTTCAACTTAGGTAAGGTGGAAGTGTAATGTGTGTAATACGGTTTGTTCTTTTAAAGCTACGTTTATGTGAAGTTAATTTGGTATTTTTTTTTTTTTGGAATTTGGTATTTAATTTAACCAAATAAATGTTAGGGCACTAGGAAAAAGATGTGGCTGCTGCCACTGGCCCACTCTGCCACCGATGAAATTATTGCCTGAGCGTTCCAGCAATTTTTATGGGAGATGGGCGGAGGGGCTACCATCTGATATATTTTAGATTACCTATAAAGTGATCAAATCGAAGTGTCACTGGATATCCTTGATAAAACAATTAGAGATGTTTAATAGATTGAAATTGTAATTCCGTTATGGAATTGCAATTCTTAGGATTTCCATCTGGCCCAGCTTCGGGCGGTTTGAATACTCGGAGGGCCAAATCGCACAGATTTTAAATTATTATTTTTAAATTTAATTTAATTGTATTTATTTGTAATATCACTTCGGTTTGATAAGATTTTGGATTAGGATGGGTCGGTCGGATATTCAACTCAGATATTTAAAATATATAAACAAAATTAAATAATTGACTAAAACCCTTAAAAATTAAGTAATACTGGAAAAAATTACAAAAACAAGTAGTGCACTGTGCACAAACTTAGAGATATTAACGAATCGAACATAAACGAATGGAGGCTGTTCGTGTTCGTTTGTTAAGGTTGTTGGAGCGTAAGCGTTCGTGTTTGTTTGTTAAGACTTTTGAAAATCTGTTCGTGTTTGTTTGTTAAGGTTTTTGAAAATCTTGTTCGTGTTCATTTGTTAAGCGTTCATTAGTGTTTGTTAACGTTCGCTAACACACTCACGAACGTGTTCGTTAACATTAACGAACACGTTCGTTAATATGTTCATTAATATTTGCGAACATATTCATTCACGTTCATAAATACGTTCGTGAATGCTTAATAAGCAAACATATGAATATGTTCATGATCACAATTCGTTCGTGAACAAGAAATAATATATGTTCACGAAAAATAACCAAACAAGTAACACAACTACAAAGAAAATACAAATAAATATTAAACGAACACAAGCGAGTTTGTTCGCAAACATTATTAAGCGAACACTAAACGAGCTTGTTCGCGAACATTATTAAACGAACACAAACGAGCTTGTTCACGATCTCTTAGCAAACGAGTGTACAATTGTTCAGACTGTTCGTTTATAAACCGAGCTCTAAATTTTGTTTGTTAATGTTCGTTTACCTTAATAAACGAACGCTTATTGAACACGAACACGAATAGTTCACCGAAAGCTTTGTTCGCTAACACCCCTACACAAACTACATGTAAACTTTATAACTGTATAAGTGTAAAACTACTAAACTAGACAACTAGTACTTAGACTTAAAAAAGTCAAATGGGCAAAGGCAATTATGAATTAGCTTATACAAAATGTAAAACTGTAAAAAAGTAGCCAATTTACAAAAGACACTGCAGCAAGCACCATTGCACCAATGTACATTAATACAATAAATTTAGAATTTGGCAATCTTCATCCAACATGCCAACTGATCCATCATCCTAGACTCCTAGTTCCTAGTTCAGTAGTTCCTACTAGCTTAGCTACAGCCTACTGTTCTTCTTCTTCCTGTCAATACTCAAAACTTAAAGATCAATTAGAAAAAAAAAAGATATAAAACTATAAAAGGTAGAAAGTAAGATATTAAACATTGGCTCCGTAAGCTTTTTGTCCATATTAAAGTTAGGATTAAGGGCAAATTGCTACAACATTCCCATGAGGATAGAGCAACATACCAGCTTAATATATTATTTCAGATCATTGGTGGAAGCTTTCATCATCGCCATAAATAGTTAAATTACTTAAATACATAATAATAGTTCAATACATTACCAGCAGTACAACACCTTTGAGTCCAACTTAGCCACTTAGGAAATAGGAACTAACAAACTTATCAACTAACAGTTACAGCACTGTGGCACTGTCCAGTGCACCAAGGTCCAAGGCACAAGGACAACAACTAACAAGTTACCAAGCCTAATTAGGACAACTAGGCAGCAACTAATTAGTTACCAAGCCTCATGAGTCATGACTCATAAACAATAATACAGTATACATGTTACATTAATACAAGAATATAAAGTATAAAGCATAACTTTACAGGAATCATAGGAAGTGTAGAACCACCAATCCTCTCAGCTCCACTGCCACCATCAGCACCAAATTCTGCAAAATGAAAGAGTAGATTGTGCATGTTAAAATTACAAGGATAAGTTTAAATTAAAAGTAAATAGAAATTGCAGGAAAGTTAAGTGTTACCTTGTTCAAATCTTTCCAATTCCTCCAGATTTTCCTCAATTGATATGGGGGTATTTGGCAGTCTAAGCCAATCCTGAGTACAAACCAGAGCTTCCTCAATTTTAGGAGTTAAAGAACTCCTAAAAGGATCTAAAACCCTCCCTGATGTACTGAAGGCAGATTCTGAGGCAACAGTGGATATTGGTATAGCTAAGACATCCTTAGCTACTTTTGAAAGGATAGAAATCTTTCAGCACTAAGCTTCCACCATCCAAGTATGTCAAAAGAAGATTCCTCTTCAACTAATGCCTCAGCAAGGTAAATTTCGAACTCAGTTTTTTTCTTTCCCCCCCACTCTCCATTCTTTGTTTCTTAATTTGGGACTTTAACAAACCCTGGGACTTCCTAACTGTAGACTGTGAAGAATCAGTAGAAGGAATGACAGAAGCAGTAGGGACAACAGAGGCAGCATAATCATCAAACAACTCTGCCAAAGCTGCAACCACTTTCTCATAGTAGGTTTTACCTTTTAATTCACCATACATGTGTAAGATCTGTGTTGGCATGTACTCTAATTTGTCCATGGGGTCTAGAATGTTTGCAAAGAATATCATCAAGTTCATCTTATCTATATCCCCCCAATACTTTTCAAATTTAACCTTCATATTTTCCCCCATCAATTTCACAGGACCACCAGCTTCCACCATTCCATTCAATAGGCAATATAAATCATAAATTTCAGAAAAAAAAAGTATTAGATGTGACATATAAAGAACCTGAAATTCTTATTGTCATATCATAAAAACACTTCAACAGCTTCACCAAACTCTTCACAGACTCCCAATGATGAGAGAGATAATTGTATTCAGTTACAACCAACAGATGAGATTACAATACTAATGCAAATAGGAAACGAAAATCACTCCTACATACCAGGCTAGCTCTAGTCAACTAAATTAACACCACACAAATATTAACTGTAATAATAACAAATATAATTAGGAAATAATAACATTATTAACACCAATCAAGAAAGTTAGGAATAGAATCACCCAAATCTAATTTGAAGGAAGAATCACTTTCTTCAAGTGAATCAAACACTTTCTCATAAAATACTGCAGATTGTAACATAAGATATGTAGAGTTCCATCTGGTTAGAACATCTAGACACAAAGAAGATTTCTTTTCAATCCCAAGCCATTCAGACAAGTCCCTAAATTTCTTAAGTCTAGCAGGTGAACTTTTCACATATTTTACAACCTCCCTAAGCTTCTTCATAGAATCATCACATTGTTTCAGCCCATCTTGCACAACTAAGTTCAAAATATGGACAATTTATCTAATGTGAATGTACTTGCCCTTCACAGTAGATGTTCTCCAAGACATCAATTTCTTTTTTTAAAAAATCTAGGGCAGTGTCATTTGATGATGCATTGTCTACTGTAATAGTGTAGACATTCCTAATACCCCAATCCAGCAATCAGGTTTCAAGGGCTTTTGCAATATACGCACCTTTGTGTGATGTAACAGGGACAAATGAAATATTTTTCTTATTCAGCCCCCACTCTTCATCTATAAAGTGAGCATTAACTACCATGTAGTTAATTCTCTGAATAGAAGTTCAAGTGTCAGTAGTAATACTGACTCTTTGAGTGTTTCTCCTAAACATGCATTTCAACTTGAGCCTTTCCTCTTCATAAATCAGATTGATGTCCCTACTAATTGTCCCTTGATGGAACTTTAAACCTAGGACAACATACCAAAATGAACTTCATAAATCTTGGACCTTCAACAAATCTAAATGGGAGTTCATATATTATAATCATTTCAACTAAAGTCCTCCACATGGACAGAGGCACCTTAGAGCAACAGGGGGCATTGGCCCCCCTCCCCCATTTTTTTTTATTAGTATTATAATTAGGGGTGTAAACAAATCAAATAAAAAAAATTAATTCGTGATTCGAATTCGAATATGTCAATTTGAATTCGAATATGTCAATTCGAATATTTCGAATACGAATGCGAATTCGAATACTTTTTTCGATTCGAATTCGAATTCGAATACGAATTAGAGTGTATTCGATTCGAATAGTATTTGAATATATATATATATATATATATATATATATATATATATATATATATATATATATATATATATATATATATATATATATATGCTATTTAAATATAACTTTTTATTACATTTTATCTTAATTTATTGAAAATTTTTGTAAAAAATTAAGTTAGACATTTCAAATTCGAATATTTAGGTCAAATCGAATATATTCAATTAAACTGATCGAATCGAATACGAATCGAATTTGAGATTCGAATATTAAACGAATACGAATACGAATATTCAAATATATAGTCGAATTCGAATCGAATAGTAAGATAATTAACTCGATTCAATTCGTTTATAACCCTAATTGCAATATAATTTTTTTGTGGCCCCCCCTCATCAAAATTAGACAGCAGTAGACCACAGTTCAGGAGGTTTGAGAAGCAAAAGCAATAGTTGGTTTCAGTTTTGGCTTTTAATCCCTTTTGTTTTCGGCAAAAAAGCGAGAAAATGAAACCATTTTTCATGGATTTTTATCCCCTTTTCTTTTCCAGATGAGAGAAAAAAA